CGGCCATCCTTAGCGTTGAGGTGAACTCGCCTCCAAAAGAAGTCAAGTGGTAAATTTTTCTTCCGTTGCAAGCTTTTGGGAGGAATTCAAGCTACTGAAAAATTAAACGAGTAGATTTTATATGTAACATAAATTTTTGCTTTTTTGAAAGAACAAATTTTTAAAGATTTTTGTTTAGCCCGGACATTCATTAGATTATTTTCCAACTTGGAAAAGCTCAAGCCAGCGTTTGGAGTAGGAAAGTGCAAAATTTCAGTCCGAAGAGAAATCTATTTGCAGGTTCAAGGATGGTAAAGAAATTGCCGCAACTTCGGATAAAAATAAGTTAAAGAAAATATCCGACACAGTTTATCAGTTGGAGATCCCTAACATTGGCAAGGATGCCGGTGCAGCTTATAAGGTCAGTATAGAAGTTATTTTCCCAATTTTTTCAAATTCTAGAAAAAGCTAAATCAGAATGATAACTGGCTCGTTTTTCTGAGAGTATTTTACTTGTGTAACTGCTTTTATAATCCCTTCATATCTTTGAAAATTTCATTTGTACACGAAATACGATTACTGCAGATACTCTTAACCCTTCTGCTTATCTTTTACAAAATACATGGCGCCCAAATACTGGCTCTTCCTGGCGCTCCTATCTATATTTCGGAGGCGGGTGGGACGCAGGAAGAGCTACAGTAATCGTCTCCTAGCATGACAAAGGTTTACTGTAGCTGCCGAATTTTGATTGGCCAATTCAGTTTACCCCTTATTCCAAATCGGAAAGTTGGGGATTGTTGTTCGGATTTTTTATAAAATTAGGGAATTATGAATTGGAAATAAAAACAGAGAGAAAAGGTGATAAAAATCTCTACCTCTGCGATTTTGCAACTCATCAGTTTGCTTCCAAGCGTTCTTTGAAAGAAGAAACCACCGGCAGTCTTGTCAGTATATGGCTACCGTTGGCACTTTGTGTACCACATGGGCTACTTCCGGATTCTCACATCTGATTAAAAAGTGAGTGCAAAAGGGATTCTGATTTTTAACTTTCTCGTAAGAGAAAGTTGTTTGTTACAGGTTACTGTTTCGAATGACGAAGGTGCTGCAGAGTCTGCTTGCGTTTTGTCCATTAAATCACCTAAGCTGAAAATTACCAAAGGTTTGGAAGACCAAAAAGCTGACAAGGGCCAGAAAGTGGTGCTTTCAGTAGAAGTTAACACTCCACCGAAACAAATCAAATGGTAAGCATTAATTTCAGTGCAAAAAAATAGATTTTTTGATGCTTACGGATGCTGATATTTTTTTAATATAATGAACATTAAGCGCAACACCAAATTGGTATTTTATCTTTATTGTTATTGTTCGATTATTGCAATAATAACAATAAAGAAAGAACACATTGTTATTGAAATTATTATTATCTAAATTATTAGTATTCATGTTATTATTTTCAAAATGTTTGGGTAGGTCTTAAATGGCCATCTAATGCTTCTTTTGTGCTCATGAGCAAATACATTTAGTTGTTTTGAATTAGGCACTACTCTGTGAATTAATTTCTTAATTTGACTAAGAAATGTAAGAGGGTTCTTTTCTATTTAGGTACAAGAACGGCAAAGAAATCGCGCCAATTGATAAACCAAAACCGAAGAAAATCGATGACAACAAATATCAGTTGGAGATACCGGATGTTGATAAAGATGACGTAGCCGAATATAAGGCACGTTTTACTTTTATTGCGTCAAAGGTCCACTTTCTAATAAGTAAAAATTTTTGCTCTAAATTCTGTTACCCAGTAATCAAAACTTTGCGACTCCATGAATCTCAATCAGTTGTAGGTGGTACTTGCAACAGAAGATAACGAAACAGCAGATTCGGCATGTTCATTGACCGTGAAACTGCCAACTTTGACAATAACAAAGGGTCTAGAGGACCAGGAAGCTGGAATTGGTGATAAGGTTGTACTTGGCGTAGAAGTCAGTGCGCCACCGAAATCTATAAAATGGTACTGTTTGGCTCTGTTTGTTGCTTTGTTTTTCATTTTTTCGCTTAATTTTTTCCTCTCGGATTTGTTTTAACTTTTCAGTTTTATTTCCAACGAAAACGTATTTTTCCATTTATTTTTTAAATTTCGCTTTTTGGAATCTCCTTTCAGAATAATTTTACTTTACCAGAATTGTATAAGTTCTTATTTTCGAACCCTCAGCCGATATTGAAGAGTAAGGACATGTTGTACGCTTTTACCGCGTCTCTTTTCTAGAGCCAGTGTTACAGTTTCGGAATATTTGGTTTCAATAAATATATGTGTCGTTTCTTCCATACCCCTCTCAGTAGTTTCGCTCTCTCTAAGGAATTGCTCACCGATCACTTAATTTTCAGTAACCCAGAATTCCTGCTTTAGGTACAAAAACGGCAAAGAAATTAAACCAAGCGATAAAGCTAAGCCAAGGAAAGTTAATGATACCAAATATGAACTGGAGATTCCGGATGCCAGTAAAGATGATACAGCTGATTACAAGGTTTGATTCATTTCTTTACTGAGTTTTACTCGGAAGACCAAATGTCCGGGCGACTTTTGCCTTGGGGTGCCTGTTTACTCGTGTGGAAACTTTTACTTTTTATTCTAAAACAGCCGTAAGTTTCTAGGTCGGGCATTTCAACGCTTTGCATGTATTCTCTAAATTTGAGACAGACGACATCAAAATATGAAACGAAGTTTTAAGAATTTCAAGAAGTTTTTGCTTTATTCAACAAGTTATATTTTTCTTTCTGAACTAGAAAATATTCACTGCAGGTGGTGCTAACAAGTGAGGATGATGAAACCGTAGATTCATCTTGTGCTTTGACAGTGAAATTTCCAACGCTAACAATTACGAAAGGCTTGGAAGACCAGGAAGCTAAAGTTGGCGATAAGGTTGTGCTTGGCGTAGAAGTCAGTGCACTACCAAAATCCATAAAATGGTACTATTTGGCTTTGTTTCTTGATTTATCTTCTCCTTTTTCGCTTAATTTTTTGACTTTCAAATTCGATTTTGCTTTTCAATTTTGTTTCCAGCGATAGCTTATTTTGCTGTTTTAAGAATTTTATTTTTTAGAATTTTGTCCAAAATAATTTTACTTCACCTGAATTGTATAAGTCCTTATTACTGAGCCCTCTGCGATATTGGGAAAGTGGGGGGCGGGGAAAGGGAGGGTAAGGACACGTTGTGCGCTTAACTAGCCCTCTTGTTCAAAGTCACTGTCACAGCTTTGAAATATCTGGTTCCTGTTCGTTTGTGTGTTGCCTCTTCCAAACTCGTCTTGGTAATTTTATTCTCTCTCAGGAAATACTCGCCGATAACTTAATTTTCAGTAATTCAACACGCCTCACTTAACAGATTTTATTCTTTTTTGGCTGATCCATATCCTGCAAGTTGTTCATTTTATAGGGAGTTTCTTTAGTAATCCATGCTCAATCAGTTTTCCTATCTTTGCGTTTCCTTCCCTCCTTTCATTAGTGCCCATCTTCCACATCCGTACACCAACATTTATACAACAGTTTTTATCATGTTTGTTTTCGAATGGAAAATAATTTGATGTTAAAAAATTTCCTGATTTAGGTACAAAAA